GCATCTCTAAAGCATACACGTCCTTTCAAAGGAAACGATCAAGGATACAGAATGTACCGGTTTATTAGTATAGAAGGAATATCACACCAGAATGCAAACACAAATGGCACTATAGTGCTTATTAGTGAAGTTATAAACACCTAAAGATTGCACAGATGAGGCTTATGAAGACAGATGATTAGACACATGATTTTTTTTGTCAAGTGTGAAGCCGAGTTCTGACTAAATGATTTTCAAAGTAGTCGCGTCACAGATGTTTTCATACTGCATGACTATCTGGGCTAGCGTTCTGTCGCTGCTTTGTTTACACTGCAAGATGGATCGATGACAGGGGCTTTCACATTGCATGATTTTACAATAGGAAGAATCGCCGACAACTTCATCCAAACTACGTCTCACAGCCAAAAACACATAGTATTTCTTTTGTTATTAATGAGAAAGAAGCCTTTAATAGGGTAGAAAATGTACATAGCCTATTTGCTCACCTCGGTTTGAAGGGAATTAGCTATTTCTCCTCAACTTTCTTTTTTGACCCAGTTGTGATTTTCTTCTCATGACACGTCAAAAGACACGGGTGCTCCGGCCAAATTTCTCCTAGTTTTTCCTCCATTACTTTGGTCCAAATAAACTGAAAAAGGAGCTTAAACTTATCCACAAGCCTCCCGCTGGCCTGCAGGTACACACACACTAGTCTAGTGAATGCTGCTCTCTCATTGGCTGTAGGCGATCGCCAATGTTTTTTCAGTCAAAACTCACCGACAGCTTGAGATATTTAGCACGCCAAATATTCAATTCAATTCAATTCAGCTTTATTTGTATAGTGCTTTTACAATGTAGATTGTGTCAAAGCAGCTTCACATAAATGGTCATAGTAACTGGAACAGTGTAGTTCAGTTTTTAGTGTTTAAGTTCAATTCAGTTCAGTTTAGCTCAGTTCAGTGTGATTTAATCATTACTCAGTGTTCAAACACTGAAGAGCAAATTCATAGATGCGTAGCTCTACCAATCTTGAATCATGCGAGGCAGTGGCGACAGCGGAGAGTGAAGAAAAAAAACCTTGAGAGAACCAGACTCAGTTGGGCACGACCATTTTAATTTCTCCGCTGGCCAAAAGTCTTGTGCAGAACTTCATTCGCCGTGGTTGAGGCAGGAAGATGGCCTCAGCGAAGACTCGTCTGTCCCTGGAACGTCGCTGGAATCAGACTCATGTTCTCCACTCCCCACGACCATCAGCGCAGCAGCAGCTCAGGATATGGCCTGGTCCCGGATATGGAATCCTTGGGATCATCTCGTCACTGGTCTTGGATCCAATCAGTGACTCCGCATAATCTGAGGACCTCGGGATGAGTATCCCCAGGTGAAAATAGAGAATAAAGAAAATAATTAGCGTAGCTGCTGTTCATAGTGTATATAAACAAGATGCAGAAACCTGTGTGGAACCCGCTAGGTGATGCATTGAGTGTATGCTTTATTAAACAGATAGGTCTTTAATCTAGTTTTGAACTGGGAGAGTGTGTCTGAGCCTCGGACATTATCAGGAAGGCTATTCCAGAGTGTAGGAGCCATGAAAGAGAAGACTCGACCTCCTTTACTTGATTTTGCTATTCTAGGTACTACCAGAAGCCCTGAGTTTTGAGATCTTAAAGAGCGAGTTGGTTTGTAGCGAGACAGAAGGTTGGTTAGATAAACAGGAGTTAGATTATTTAGAGCTTTATAGGTGAGAAGTAATATTTTATATTCAATATGAAACTTAACAGGCAGCCAGTGTAAGGAGGATAAAATTGGGGTGATATGATCATATTTTCTAGACCTGGTCAGAACTCTGGCTGCTGTATTTTGTACTATTTGAAGTTTGTTAATAGAGGATGCTGGGCAGCCAGCAAATAGAGCATTACAGTAATCCAGTCTCGAAGTCATAAAAGCATGGACTAGCTTTTCTGCATCTGAGATGGATAGCATATTTCGTAATTTAGCGATATTTCTCAGATGAAAGAAGGCAGTTTTTGTGACATGGGATATATGGTTTTTAAAAGTTAGATTGCTGTCTAATATGACACCCAGATCTTTTATAGTAGAGCTAAAGCTAACTTTGTATCCCTCTAATTGTAAATTGAGTTGCGAGATCTGCTGTGTGCAAGATTTAGGCCCAATAAGTAATAATTCTGTTTTGTCGGAGTTTAAGAGAAGAAAATTGTTGGTCATCCAGTCTTTAATGTCTTTGATACACTCAGTTAGTTTAGACAGTTCAGACGTCTCGTCAGGTTTAGTTGAAATATATAATTGACTATCATCTGCATAGCAGTGAAAGCTGATCCCATGTCTTGTAATAATGTCTCCCAGAGGTAGCATGTAAATTGTAAACAGTAAAGGGCCTAAAACTGATCCTTGAGGCACCCCATACTTTACTGGGCTGACTTGTGAAGGCTGTCCATTAAGATTCACAAACTGGTAACGGTCAGTTAAGTATGACTTAAACCATTGTAGAGCTTGTCCCTGGACACCTGTTGACTTTAAGCGATTTATGAGGATATTGTGGTCAATGGTGTCAAATGCCGCACTAAGATCGAGTAAAACTAATAGCGAGACGCACCCTCGGTCAGCAGCTAAGAGTAAATCATTGGTTATTTTCACTAAGGCGGTTTCTGTACTGTGGTGAGCCCTGAAACCTGACTGAAACACTTCAAAAATATTGTTCGTCTGCAGAAAAGAGCATAATTGAGTGGAAACAACTTTTTCTAGTATTTTAGACATAAATGGAAGATTTGAAATAGGCCTATAGTTAGCTAAGTTGTTGGTGTCTAGTTGCGGTTTCTTAATAATAGGCTTAATAACAGCTAGCTTGTAAGAGTTTGGAACATGGCCTATAGATAAAGAAGAGTTGATCATGTTAAGAAGAGGTTCTCCTATAGCAGGTATAGCAGCTCTTTCAGTAATTTTGTTGGAATTGAGTCCAGCATACACGTAGCTGGTTTAGAGCTATTTATAATTTTTACTAACTCTTTGTGTTCTATGATTTTGAAGCAGTGTAGGTTATTATTATGATTCAATGAAATATTTACAGGATTTGGAGTATAAGCCGGTGCAGAAAGTTTGGCATCTCCTATTTTCTATTTTATCACTGAAAAAATTCATGAAGTCATCACTACTAATTTGCGGTGGAGTAGTTTGTTCCAAGGATGACCGATTATTTGCTAATTTAGAGATGGTGTTAAATAAAAATCTAGGATTGTTTTGATTATTTTCTATCAGTTTGCGCAGGTGCTCGGTCCTGGCAGATTTTAGAGCCTTCCTATAGCTGGACATACTGTCTTTGTACGCAATTCTAAAGACCTCTAAATTAGTTTTTTTCCATTTACGTTCCAGGGCGCGGGTTGCTTTTTTGAGCGCACGAGTATGACTATTATACCATGGTATAGTTTTAATCTCACTAGCCTTTTTTAATTTGATGGGTGCCACAGTATTTAGTGTGCTAGTAAAGATGGCATCCATACTGCTGGTTACTACATCAAGATCATTTGAGTTTGCGGGTGCATTACGAAATAGAGAGAGATCAGGTAAGTTATTTATAAATTCATCTTTAGTTGACGGAACAATAGTTCTTTTAGGGCGGAGTATTGGAGCTGGTTTGCTGATTTCAGGTAAACACAGCTTATATAGTAGGAGGTAGTGATCTGTAATATCATCACTTTGTGGTATAATGTCTACGTCAATAACCTCGATTCCATAAGACAAAATTAGATCTAATGTATGCTTTAAGCGATGGGTTGGACCCACAATGTTTTGCTTTATCCCAAGTGAGTGTATTAAATCCATAAACGCGAGTCCTAGTGTATCGTTAGCGTCATCTATGTGGATGTTAAAGTCACCTACAATTAGCATTTTATCAGTTTTGACTAGTAAGTCAGAAATAAAATCAAAAAATTATTTTAGAAAATTGACATAGGGTCCTGGGGGTCAATATATGGTGATTAAAGCGAGAGATAACATTTTTTTTAGTTTTTGCATAGTATCTGGAAGCTGAACATTAAGCGATAATACTTCAAAGGAGCTAAACATAAGTCCTTTTCTCTGATTAATATTAAGAAAATCACTAAAGATTGATGCAACTCCAACACCACGACCAGTTTGACGAGCCTCATGTTTATATAAGAATCCTGGAGGAGTTGCTTCGTTTAAGCTAATATAGTCATTTTGTTTCAGCCAGGTTTCAGTGAGACAGAGTACATTAAGATTGTTTTCTGTTATTATTTCATTAATGATAAGTGCTTTAGGTGCAAGTGACCTGATGTTTAGGAGACCAAGCTTACGAAATTTGTATTTTCACTTTCTACTGGTTTTTCTGGTTTGATTCTTAATAGATTTTTTCTGGAGCACACAGTACATTTATTTCTAAATCTAATAATACGAGGAACAGACACAGTCTCTATAGGATTTGCCAGATATGCGTTACTGATGTTTAAGTGGGATGAACAAGAGTCTAGGTGGCTATAATGTGAATTTTGTGAATTTTTACCTGCTAGTCAGATGGTGCGAAGTAATCTGGAGATGTTGTCCGACAGGAGTTCAGCTCCGGCTCGACTGGGGTGCAGGCCGTCAGCACAGAAGAGCCTAGGACGCTCCCAGAAAAGATTCCAGTTATTAGCAAAGAGCAATTTCTGTTCTTTACACCATGTTATTAGCCATTCATTCAGAGCTAAAAGTCTACTGAACCTTTCATTTCCTCGGCGGTAGGTAGGAAGCGGCCCAGAAACGTTGATCTGCGTGGCGGGCGAGGTGCGTCGAACCGTCTCGATCAGGCTCCTGAAGTCCTTCTTCAGGATCTCCCACGTGAAGGACAACGCCACCAGGGCTCTCGGCAGCGCCCAGGATGGTTGGAATCTGTGTAGAAATATTTCTCACACGGGCACCAGGAAAGCAGAAAGTACGTACTTTATTACCTTTTGAGGAGGCGGCACGGACGTGATGAACAATCGAGTCACCGATGATGGCCACATCAGGACCCGACTCGCGGAGAGGGGAGAATCGGTTCTCCGTGAAGATCTCGAACACGGGAGGAAGAGACGTTCTGCCCCGGGATCTGGCAAGCACCTTACGCTGCTGCACCCAGGCGCCGTGGTAGCCGGGTGTCGGCATGAACGACGCCTGGCCAAACCGCGCCCCGGTGCGCTGGGCCTGGACAGAGAAGGACGCGGGGTTGAGGTAGAGGGAATGATGTGGTTGTAATTTCCACGTACCTTAGATGATGAGGCGGCCTTAGCGTTAGGCACAACAAGCAGTTGTTCCTGCAGCTGCGTCTGCCTCACCAGAAGTGCCCGGATCTGGGACTCCACTTCTTCCAGCTCCAGCTCCAATGCCTCCATCGATGCTTCTCTAATTGAGATAGGTCTCTAATTGTAGTTTGTGCCTATGGGCCAAAAACCAGTGCAGAGTACCCAGCCTTCTTGGAGTCCTTGGGAGAGATGCAGGAAGGTGCTCAGACTGAGGATTGGAGAGGCGTTCTGTTATTGGATTTCTGTACTAATCACAGTTTGTCAATAGCAAACACCATGTTAAACCATAAGGGTGTCCATCAGTGCACATGGCACCAGGACACCCTAGGGTGGAGGTCAATGATCGACTTTGTGGTTGTATCATCTGATATTCGACCGTATGTCTTGGACACTCTAGTAAAGAAAGGGGCAGAAATACGGGATGCCATCAAGCTGAAGGAGTCCTACAGGTCTTGGTTGGCTTGCAGGACTCCTAAGGCAGCTGTTGGGCACCGGCAGGCCAAGCGTGCTGCAGCAAGGGCGATTGCGGAAGCAAAAACTCAGGCGTGGGAGGAGTTTGGGGAGACCATGGAGGGAGACTATAGGATGACCCCAAAAATAATCTAACAAACTTGGAGATACAGGGGTGGACTCACCCATCACCAAAGCTGAGGTCACTGAGGTAGATTGCTAGCTCCACAGTGGCAAACCAGTGGGGGTGGATGAGATTCATCCTGTGTATCTTAGGTCACTGGATATTGTGGGGCTGTCTTGACTGACACGTCTCTACAATGTTGAATGGAGATTGGGGACAGTCCCTCTGAACTGGGCAATTGGGGTGGTGGTTCGCATTTTTAAGAAAGGGGACCGGAATGTGTGCTCCAACTATAGGGGAAAAAAAAAAAAATCACACTCCTCAGCCTTTCTGGAAAAGTATATGCTAAGGTACTGGAGAGGAGGATCTGGCCGATGATCGAACCCAGGATTCACGAGGAACAATGTGATTTTCGTCCAGGCTGTGGTACACTGGACAAACTCTTTACCCTTACCAGGGTGCTCAAGGGTTCATGGGAATATGCCCAACCAGTCCACGTGTCTTTTGTGGACTTGGAGAAGGCATTCGACCCTGTCCCTCATGGCATTCTGTGGAGGGTGCTGTAGGAGTATAAGGTCAGAGGTGCTTTGTTAAGGGCTGTCTTGTGCCTGTATGAACAGAGTAAGAGTGTGGTTCACATTGTCGGCAATAAGTCAAAATTGTTAACAGTGTATGTTGGGCTCCGGCAGGGTTGCCCTTTGTCACCAATTTCAAAGCGCATCCCTGGGCTAGAGGGGGCCTTGTAGAGTCTGGTAGATGAAGAAGAGCCGGAGTCAGAGATTTAAATAAATAAATCAAGTTTATTGAAGATAGTTTGCAGTTTCATTCGCAGAAGCCAGCTTCAACACTCTCAATGAGTTCCTAGGTCGCTCTGCTTAAAGTTTCAACAATCGAACAATTATACTCTTTACACAAGTCCAGAAAGAGTGGGATCCAGGTAAACAGTCCTCATTGGCTACAACAGAAATAGACAATTCTAAATACATGCAAAGAAACATAGTATCTACTTCCAGATATGGATGGCCTTAATGTGTGCGTCAAAGACAGCATTGTATCTGTCTCCAGATATGGATGGTGACCTGATACCTAGAGGTGAGGTCGCCCTAAGTTATTAGGAGCTGATCTCCGACCTGTAAAAAGCTAAACCAGGGACACAATAGACACAAACAACCATTTGTGTTAAAGACTTAAGGATGTTTCTTGTACGTTCAGCTGTGTTATCAGGCTGGTTCAAGACTGTTTCCATCAACAGTCTGCTGCAATATCTTTACTCCACACAGTCTGTCTCCACACAAAAAGGAATTACATTAAAATTAATTATACTCAAAAACAGATCAATCAAGCAGCTATAATATTATAGGCAATATCAGGACAACTAGAACAGGTGTCTTCTCCTCTGTATTGGACCTCCAGTCATAGGAACAGATGGGGAGAGAGAGAGAGATCTCCATGACCTATGATCTGGTTTGTGTGTTTCCTGAAAAAGTTAAAATAGACAGACAGCTACCATATGCATTAGTTAAAATAAATCCACAGTTAAATACTGAGAAACATGATGATGAAAAGGATAAACAGTGGTCCATGATGAGACGGATTGGAAAGCAGAAATCTGAATCCTTCAGTCTGGTTCGGGGACCACAGGATTTCATCTCTGTTTTTTTGCAGACGATGTTGTCCTGTTGGCTTCATTGAACATGGACCTTCAGTATGCACAGGGGCAGTTTGCTGCCAAGTGTGACACGGCTGCGATAAGAATCAGCACCACCAAGTCCGAGGCCATTGCGCTCCACCAGAGAAAGTGGTTTGCCACCTCCAGGTTGGAGGAAAGTCCTCACCCCAAGTTGAGGAGTTCAAGTATCTTTGGCCTTTGTTCTTGATTAAGGGAAATATGGAACATGAGATTGCTGCTGCTGCTGCACCAATCCACCTGTCAATGCGGTCGATGTACCAGTCCATTGTGTTAAAGAAGAAGCTAAGCCAAAAGGCAAAGCTCACGCGTTACTGGTCAGTCTATGTTCCTACTCTCACCTATGGTCATGAGAATTGGGTTATGACCAAAAGGACAAGATCTCGGATACAAGCAGAAAAAATGAGTATCCTTAAAAGAATGGCAGGGCGCACCTTTATAGACCGAGTGAGACGCTCTGTCACCCAGAAGGAGCTTGGAGTAGAGCTCCTTCTCCTCCACATCGAGAGAAGTCAGCTGAGGTGGTTGCCTCTAGAATGCCTACCTAGGGAGGTGTTCCAGGCATGTCCCACTGGGAGGGACTATGTCTCTCGGCTGGCCTCAGAACGCCTCTGGATCCCCCGGAGAAGCTGGAGGAAGAGTTTGGTTAAAGGGAAGTTTGAAGTTTTCTCCTAAGACTGCTGCTCCCGTGACTCTGCCCTGCATAAGTGGATGAAAATTATGATGATGATGATGATGATATACTTTTCACCACACTACATGACAAAACATTATATGATTTCGGTTGTGCTTGACAAACCACTTGTAGAAAACACACTCTTTCATCTCTCTGACACTTTAACCAGCATTTGCACTAGTTTGGCATATTTGCATTCAGTGATTTCTAACAATCACTCCATATGTGAAAAAAAAAAAAAAAAAAAAAAAAAGGAAAACATTTGACAATTGCCAAATTTGTTAAATAAATGACCAAACTATCAAGTAATACCTGTCATGAATATTAACTGCATTTACCACCAGGAGGCAGAAAATTAAGATCGATACAGCCATTCCTGATGCAGCGTCAAAGGGGGCGGGGTGAGCAGCAGCTAATTAGCATTAAAAGAGACTAGAGTCGCTGTGAACTGAGGTGTTTCTGACTGGGTAAAAAGGGTGTTTATATAAACTACCAATGAGACATTTAACAAAAGTAAGTGATAGACTTTTTATTTACACTCTAAATAATCATATGAACTTGTGTTTAATGGGCATCCGATGCCACCTTTAAGGTCAGATTTTACTTTTGTTTTTACAGAATGCTATGCTGTATGCACACAATGTGTTAAGTTCACGCAGACACATTTTTTTTCTCTAAACAAGTGTAAGTTATGCAGTTTACACATGCACTGTTAACTGTTTCTGCACTACAGTATTTAGGTGTTAACTCTAAAAAAATAATATAATGCAACAAGAGCAGCAAATACTAAAAATGGAAAACCTGTGTTCATGTGTGTATTTGTGACAGGATTAAAACACATCTACAGCTTTATTTGCAATAAGTAGATTTAATTGTTTTTACTTCTTTTAAAAATGAACGTGATGTAAGAAGTGAGAAGTGCTGCTTCATTCTGACCTTCCTGAACACCGACAGATGGATGCATAGGGGTAGTCTATAAAAATAGTTCATGTGAACCTTTGCTATTGTGGTTAAAGTTTGGGGTTTATGAAAGTAAAGATGCAGAAAACCAAACCCGTTTCTCTCTACAAGGTTAAACCACTGATCAGAGACCAGGGGTCCGTTCTTCGTACCTCGCTTAAATGATCTAAGATGATTTGGCAGATCCTGGATCTTTTCATCTTGATGACTGATCTCTCGCTAATTTGGTTCTTCAAACAAGTTCGCGAATCAGATTAGAATGTCTGGATGAACTGATCTGAGATCGCTGCGTGTGTTATGAAGGACAGATCTATCAATCCTCGAAATCATGATCAGCAATGCAACGATTGGCTGACGGCACAGCAGCGTAATGACATCATCTGATTAATATTCAATTATCCATGTGAGCAAAATTACATCAAATTAGCAGTAAACGGCTTGTTAAATATGACACGCAAGAACTTTCAACATTTGTTGTGAGCTGCAGGCTTTACACTTTCATGTGTCAAGAGTATTCATCATGTATTTCAATGCAAATCAATGTATTTAGTTCTACATTTAGAAAAGATTTTCTTTATTATAGTAGCCATTTTTTAATCGGTGTAAAGAATAACTGGTTGTTTACAAAAGCATTTTCATATTGGTAAAGGCGTCTGCAACTTTTGTGAAGCATCAAATCACTGCATATTAACTATCAAAACATGTTTATGACTGCATAAATGTATTATTGCTTTAAAAAAAAAAAAAGTCACATATTGTGCATTTCTATTTTACACAATTTGTACTAAAGCGATCTAAAAAGTTCATATCAATAAGTTTTCTCTTTGCACCAGCTGGCAGTCTTTGTATTTTCATTTCGAGGGTGCAGATTCCATACATTTTATTAATATGTATAACTTTATTTATTTTATTAATGACTATAACTTTATATATATATAGTTTAAAAATATGTACCATTTTCCCAAGTGTATATAACTACTACTGTAAGAAAATATCAGAATTCAGAACATACTTTCTGTATTATCTTTGCTTGAACTGAGCCGATCTAATCCTGTTTATATGAATTGAACCTGCTCCCGATCAGGTTTGACCTAGCAGAACTGTTGCCATGACAACAACTCTCGGATCAGCTTTGAAGAACGAAACGATCCTGGATCGTGTCAAATCGTCAATATCCAAATCCAGCTAATTGAGTAATCCACGTATGAAGAACGGACCCCAGAAGTCAAACCACAATCATCAGCTCAAACTTAAACCATTCAGGCCTCTTAAACTAATCGTGCATTTTCCCAGTACAATCATTTCTGCAGTCAGAAAATCATGAAGGAAAAACATGACTTCAGTTATGAGCTGGAGGAAGACAGAAGGACATGTGGAAATGTAAATGATGTGTATTGCTGTATGAATGTTCATGCTGCACCACTACTGGCCTCTGGAAGGCTTTGGCTAATTTTAGATAACCGAAAAATGATGGGACTTCCACTACAAGGTACTAAAGAAAACAAGACTTAATAAAAATACCCTTCAGCTTATTTAGAGGTGCAAATGATTTTCAAAGTAGTCGTGACAGATGTTTTCACACTGCATGACTATTTGGGCCAGTCTTCTATCGCTGCTTTGTTTACAATGCAAGATGGATCGGCGACAGTGGCTTTAACACTGCATGACTTTACGATATGAAGAATCGCTGACAACTTCGTCCAAACTACGTCTCACAACCAAAAACACATAGTATATCTTTTGTTAATAAATACATGACAAGAAAGAAGCCTTTAATAGGATAGAAATTAGCATATTTGCTCACATGGGTTTTAAGGGAATTACCAATTTCTCCTCAACTTTCTTTTTTGACCCAATTGGGATTTTGCTCTAATGACACATCAAACAGACACGGGTGCTCCTGCCAAATTTCTGCTAGTTTTTCCTCCATTTCTTGGGTCCAAATAAACTGAAAAGGAGCGCTTTTAACTTCTTCCCCTTAATAAATGACCAAAATAAATGACCAAAGTACCAACTAATATCTGCCACTCACCATCAGAAGGCGCTATAATCACTTTTTATAGGAGATTTTTGCTTTCATAGTCCAAAATGAATAAAGTAATCAAACATCAGTGCACAAAACTCTGCCCCTTCTACTACGCAAGCAAGGGCTTTTGTGATTGGTCTACTGCATACAGCACATGTTCACAACTACTGTATTCAAGTTTATATATTGTTGACAGGTTTATACAGTGTATGAACAAACAAAATTGAAACTGCTTGGAATTTGTTTTAAAAATGACTCGTTTTTATGATTCGGATTCAGCTCGGAAACTATAAGTTAATACACTAAAGTAACATTAATAATAATGATGTCATTACGCTGCTGTGCCGTCGGGCAATCATTGCATTGCTGATCATGATTTCGAGGATGGAGAGATATGTTCTTCACAACACACGCAGCGATTTCAGATCAGTTCACCCAGACATTTTAATCTGATTCACGAACTTGTTTGAAGAACCAAAACAGCTCTAAGTGTATGAAAACATCCTGCAAAGTTTGTGTATTAAGTTATAGTTTCCGAGCTGAATCTGAATCATAAAAACAAGTCATTTTTAACTTACTTACCAGTAATTGTGAACACGTCGGGTAAATCTTGTAACACTCATCTTTAAATCAACAGGATACACAAGAATAAAAATGGTTCAATTTACTTTCAGTATTCAAATTTTATCACATTTATTAAATCGATTAAGCATACTTTATGTATTATAATCACAAAATTCTCTGAAAATGTCCTAACAATGAAACATAAACACAAACAAAATATATACAATAACATCAATACAAAAATTGTGTGTGTGTGTGTGTGTGTGTGTGTGTGTGTGTGTGTGTTTGTATGTCTTTATATGCGTGTGTGCAAAGTCCAAAAGTCCATGGATGAGTGTACATGCAAAATGGATTGCTCTCACCGCAAAGTTTGAGTCCGGATAATTGGAAACATGTCAAGTTGCAGTACATTAAATGTTCTCCATAGACAGTCTTTATTGTGGTTCTGCAAGACTACTGAGTTCAAAAAGAGCAAAAAATCCATGCAAAACAATTGTTCTTCGCACACGAAACAAGAAAAAATATGGATATAGCAAACTTCTACTCCATGTGCTCCTCTGGCTTCTTCAGGTGTCACAGTGAGTAGTGTCCATGTGCCTTCTATCTCCCCCTTGTGGTGTGTATGTTATGTAAATGTGTATATATAGAAAAAAGGCAACAGAACAGGAAATAGAACACAGACACATTCACCTCACCTCATCACTTCAAAATAAAGAATCTAAAATAAAAGTCCATAACTCAATGGTATATTTGGAGCTTCAAAAACCGTGAGTACGCTTTACTGTATGGCCTATTCACACATTTAATGAATATAACAGAAAGTATAAACTCAATTAAGTGGCAGCACTACAATCTTCAAAGGTAATCAGTCAAATGTGCACAATCAGTGTACGTGGTTGCATTATTTAATAAAAAATTAACTTATGTTTGTGCTCAGACAA